CCTCTGCCTCCCGAGTGCTGGGATTAAAGGCATGCGCCACCACTGTCCGGGGAAAAAAACTTTTATGTTGGCTCCCAATTCCAGAGGGATAGATTCCATCCTGGTGGGGAATGAATGCACCAGGCAAGGAAAGCATGCCGCAGGAACAGAAGCTGGCTGATCACTCCCAATCTAACACAGGAAGCAGAAACAGCAAGAGGGGTTGAGCACCTAAACCTCAAAGCCTGCCTCCAGGGACCTCCTCCAGCAACCTCTAGCTCCTAAAGATTCTGTAACCTTCCCAGACAGCAGCACCATCTGGAGCCCAAGTGTTCAGACACACGAGCCAGTGCGGGATGGGGACTTGCATATTCAAACCACAACAGTGTCCATGGGAAGAAATTCCGTGCTTGGAAGAAGCACCAAGCACGATGATGGGCAAAGTGTGTGCAACTGACCAACCCAATAAGAAGGTGACAGAAGCCCAGCTTGTCCGAAGAGCTGGACCCTCTCGGGTATTTAACAGGTTTATGTGAACACAGGGAGGACTGGAGAAGGGACTCACCGGTTAAGGGAACTTGCTGCTCTTTCAAAGGACCCCAGTTCAGTCCCCAACACCCACACTGGTCTGCTCACAACTTTCTGGACCCCAGTTCCACAGGATCCAATACTCTCTGCTGGCCTCTGCTGGCCTCTGCACATATACACTTGTGCATACACACAGAGACACACATGCACATGAATAAAAATAAGATGAAGGATCATAGGGGTAGCTTCTGTAAATTTTCTGTTCTCTACATTATTCTTCCAATGTTTCCACTCTATTGACTTATTGTAGATATAATTGCATGCCACTTAATGATGAGATGCACCCTGAGAAATGTGTTGGAAGGTGACCCTTCTTGTGTTAACATCATATAATATACACGCCCAAACCTAGATGGCATTATTTATTATTCACCAATGCTACATGGCATAACTTATTGCTTCTGGAATACAAACATGTATAGCTGTGACTATAAATCCTTTCAGCAACTATAACACAGTGGTAAATATTTGTGTATATGAACACATCTAGAAATTAAAAATACAGTAACAATACTGAGCAATAGAATTTTCAACTCTACTATAATCTTACAGGACCACTGTCATATATATGGTTCATCATTGACACAAGAATACTTAGGTTCAGGACTGTAGTGCAGAAATTTCTACAAACAAGCACTGTGGTTAGAATGATCAAGTTTTATTCTCAGTAGCCCTGATTCCATTTTCCCTTAAAAAATAAACATACGATGCTGTTTGTTTTTAGACATCATTTTCTTACAAGCTTTTAAGAAACAAAGTCTCTTGAGATGCGAACAATCTGTCCCCTCCTTATTTAAAACGGGCTAAAATAAATATTTAACATTGCATCTCTAAGTATTTGGTTAGCTGTGTTATTGTGATTGCTGTTTATTTTAGCTGGATCACGTCCTTCTGCTTCCAGGAGTCTTTCAGATTTTAACAACAGCGTTGCTTTTGTGCATTCTAGGTAGCCTGAATAAAGGTGAACCCTTGTAGTTTGGATGCTTTATTGTCTTTGTGAGCCTGGGCTGCTATATGAAGAATGCTATAAATTGGGTGGTTTAAACAGAAGGCTTTTATTGTGTACAGGTTTGGAGACTGAGAAGATCTGGATCAAGGCACAGATTTGGTATCTGGTGTGGTTCCTGGCTTCTGCATGGCTACCTTTGTGTTATATTTTTATATAAAAGGAGAAGTAACTTCATGCCTCTTCTGTCTTTTGTGTGTGTGCTCTTATGTGTAGGTGTATGTAAGGGTCCTAGTGTGCTTCACATGTGGAAGACAGAAGATAACCCTGGTTTCCATTCCGCAGATGCCATCTTCTTTTTCTTTTCGAGCAGATTCTCTCATTGGCTGGGAATTCACCAAGACCATGAGACTGGCCAGCAAGCCTTAGGGATCTGCCTGTCTCGGCCTCCCCAGTACTGGGATCGAGAGTGTGCATCCCATGCCTACTTTTTTTGAGTTGGTGATTGAACTCAGAGTTTCTTGTGCTTGCAAGGTGACCACTTTACCAACTGAGTCCCTTTATTTTTAACAAACTTTTTTTAAAGAATGTCATACGTGAGTACTGTATTTACATCATTTCCATCCATCCCCTCTCTCCCACCAGGTCCTCCTGTGTATGTATGTACTCAATAACACTCTAAACCAATCATACGGCCTTTATTCTCAGGAGATTATCACTTCTGAAATATTCCACCTGCAGGGACCATCACAGTGGGGGTTTATACTTAAGCATATGGATTTTGGAAGGATGCTTTCAATCCCCAGCATTCATTATCCAAAGAACCCTGCTCTTATCCATCTGTGAGGACACACAGTTCAGGTTAAAACACACACACACACACACACACACACACACACACACACACACACACACACAAGTTTTTGACACAGGGTTTCTACATAGCCCCAGCTATCCTAGAACTCACTATGTAGACCAGGCTGGCCTCTAACTCAGAGATCTGCCTGCCTTTGCCTCCTGAGTCCCAGGTAAATATTGACTACAACTTCTGATAACAACCAAGAGCTGTTGTTCCCAATTCCCAGCTTTCTGCATCTTCAGGGTGGCTTTTGGGCCCACAAGGGATGTCATGATATTTCATCCTGCTGAACATCCTCAATCTCCATGGCAAGGGTAGAGAGGGGGCATTCAGATCATTTCATATAAAATTTTAATGAGAAGATTCTTTAAAATGACCCATTTCTATGCCTTTCTTCACAAAAAGGGGGGGGGACTGGAAGCCAGAGCGTGACTTTGTTCAACATTTCAGTTCACTGACTCATCAGCACTAGCTACTGCAATAACAACTTGATTTATCTCATTTAACTTCAACATTTTTCTCCAGCCCAGTCAACTGCTTATTTAGTAACCTCCCACTTTATCTTTTACAAAATGTTCAAGGAAAATAATGTTTGACCAGATGGTGAAAAACCATCAAATCTAACGTGAATTCTGCAGGTTCAGCTCTACCCCTATTTTATGTCTTCTATGTAACTTGAAGAAAGTGCCTTAGCTGCCTCTATTTCCCCCTTTTGAAAACACAGTCGTTTCTTTTGCAGGTCCTTGAAGTTTCTACCCACAACACACACACCCAGTCAAATGAAAACTTTCCTGTTGGTATATGGTTTGGGGTGCCAGATAAGACTTCTAACTCTATTGGATAATTTAGATAACTGAATAGTACATGCTTTTTGCAGAGA